GGATTTTGTTTATGAATTTATTCACATATCTTTGTTTAATTTTATTACGAATTAGCATTACAAATCGTACCTTTCCAGAAACCGTATTGGACAAGTCTTTTGATATTTCTACAACAAATATTTTCTAGTGACTTCAAAAGATTTGGTCAAAAAAAAATCTAAGAGGTATATTTGGAAGATATAATATTTTAATATATATTTAACGTGAATCACATTTAAATTTTAAATATGTAATATACATTAATTATTTTAATATTTAATGTATTAAATGTAAAAATATATCTTTTGTATTTAATATATTTTATACACTAAATATTAATTTCAATCCTTCAAATTAAATATATTACTTTTAAAAGCTCACTAACCAACTCCTTTCCCTTTTTGAGTGTTACAATAGAGCTACTTTATGGTTAAGTCTTAGTTGGCCGATTACGGCAAGTTTTATGATTTAAGTCGAAGGAATGATCGGCATCACGAAAATGGCCATTCTAGTAAGTCATGTTCTTCGATTCCTTTATGTCAATTGTGTTAATTTTCGTGGTAATTGTTTAGATGTGTTTATGGAATTTTTCATATTGTTCGTCCAAATTAGAAATTAGGAATTAAACACTTAGTTCTTCCACGTGTTCGCCCAAATTTAATAATCGTCTTCTAGTTGGTGATTGGAAAATATGAATTATCGTAAAAGATTACATATCAGGTTATCTATACGAGTATTTTTATTTTTTATGTGATAGTTTTTTCAATTTTAACGTTAGAAAAATAAACGTCAAAATTAGCAATTTTTTATAGGAATTTACAAGGCAAAAGCATGTGATATGTGAACTCTCTCAATAAACGGGGTTTAAAAAATTGTATTAGATAGATTAGTAATACAGGGATGTGCCTTAAACGCATGTGTTAAGTAATGTCAACAGATTATTACGTGGAGACTGTTTAGAAAATCTCTGGCTATCCTTTGGCTATGAACTTGTTCTTATAATTTATAATAGTTGACCAGTACCGAAACCACTCCCACATGATTATAACTAGGAATTGTTAGAGTCGTCAATTAATCTTTAATAGTGATTTATCTCGTATGACAAGATTTGAATATATCATGGAGTTAGGCTATTCGGGAGGTTCTCACACACTGTCCTACATACTTGGAACCGATAACCAGTAAAAATAAAGAGTATAGCTAGAACATTTGAATAACAGTGAATCCAATCATTGTGATAAGCGTAGAAGTGCAAGGTCATTTGACATTGATTTCAAGGGTGCTTAGAGGTGCTAAACAATGTGAATCCAATCATTAATATAAGCTTTGGGAAGTTCGGTCACTTGAATACAACAATTGACATAAGCTCTTAAGAGTTAAATGACGAGTAATTAGTGGTTAAAAACTCTATTATGAGTTCAGGAGTTACATGAATTAGAAGTAATATTTCTTTAGTATTAATAACCTTCAAGAGCTGCCGAGTCTTACCACAATATAATTATGATTGATGGTGATCTTAGAGAGAAAATATAGGTTAGCTCCGTTGGGAAACAGGAGTTAGATATATGGTATATAGTTTTTAAGTATTTTATGCTCATTCGTTCTACCTTTTCATTTTAGATAATATTTGAGGCTACTTAATTGGTGATGAAGGCGTTTTGATCAGAATATAGTTCAAACTATATAGTAAAACAAAAGAAAAACATAAAATTATAATAAGCATACAAAATTCAAAACTTTAGGTTAATTCCTAGACTAAACAACTCTAGATTTAATAATTTGATTGTAACGGCCCAAGCCCACTGTTAGCCGATATTGTTCTCTTTGGGCTTTCTCTCAAGGTTTTTAAAACGTGTCTGCTAGGGAGAGGTTTCCACACCCTTATAAATGGTGTTTCGTTCTCCTACCCAACCGATGTGGGATCTTACAATCCACCCCCGTTCAAGGCCTAACGTCCTTACTAGCACTTGTTCCTTTCTCAAATCGATGTGTCCTTTTGGGGCCCAGTGTTCTTACTCGCACAACACCTCGTGTCTACTCCCTTCGGGGAATAGCCTTCTCGCTGGCACATCGCTCCGTGTCGGGCTCTAATATCATTTGTAACGGCCCAATCCCACTACTAGCAGATATTGTCCTCTTGTGGCTTTACCTTTCGGGCTTCCTCTCAACGTTTTTAAGACGCGTCTGCTAGGGAGAGGTTTCTACACCCTTACAAAGAGTGTTTCGTTCTCCTCCCCAACCGATGTGTGATCTTACATTGACAAAACGCCCGAACATTCGTTTAATTGTTTTTCGTTGCCATTCAATTCTAATGGGAAAGAATGAATAACTTTGTCAAATAATTATGAATTCTTGAGCTTCTCACGCTCCGTTTGATAATGTTAATGTTTTTTTATTCTCGTTTTCAAGTACTAAAAATATAAATATATTTGATAATTATTTACATCATCGTCAATGAAAAACTTCTAGCATCAACATTCGATGCCTGTGAGGTGTTGCTACGTAATATTTTGGCGTTGAAAACGAGCTTTTTCGATTTGTGTGGTTGCTCCTCCCAACCGAAACAAAGGTATTAGCTATAGGCGAATACAAATTAGAACAACCCATATGTATGAATTTTTCGAAGCCTTTCAAGCTTTTTTTTTTACACGTTTTTCTCATTCGTAATTAGTTTTGAGATGAAATTTCATATTTATCTATTAGATACTCAAATAGTTGAGATTAAGCTGAGAAACACACCTTAATTTATTTTATTCAAGTAGTAAGGTGTTACATATTGCCAAGGGTGTTTAGCCAATTCGAGGGATCGAACTCACCTTTCCATTATTGTCATTAAAGACTCGGACTCGATTTTCCCTATAATCAAGAGTTGCGAAGTTTTGGCCTCGTGGCATTAGAATTACATCGAGAGAAGGATTCTCTTGTTGTATTATCTTCACTGCTTCCTCCGCATCCCTCCCCACCAACTCTGGCCAAGACGACTTTTCTAAACCATTTGAAAAGACTAAATTAATAAAAACACATATACTAAGGGTTCTAAAATGGTATTTTTCATTCGTTTTGTACAGTTTAAAATATTTTTGAAACAAAACATTAACCGTTTTCATCTCAAACTAAAGGTAAGAATATTATTGAAATTTTTTAATTTTTAAGAAAAATACTATTTTCATTAATTTAACCCATTTAAGAACCTATTGGTCACATAAATGAGATTACGCTTTTTAAAATTTTATTAATAGGGTGTCGTTATGTTAATATATATTTAGTGGTTTGTAAGAAATTATTAAACTAAAAAATATTTTTAAAAAATGAAAAATTAGGACTAAAATATATATTATATATAATAATAATAATAAAAAAGAAAGTATAAATAAGGATTTATGACAATACCTGACATTTCTTTTGGTTGCGAGTTTGGCCTTCTATATTTGGAAGTTTCGTTGTTTAAGTTAACAAAAATCAATATCTATATATATGCCTATTTTGGAATCTCACATTAACTTTTTTTTCCCTTTATTTTTAAAAGAATAAATTCTATTTTCAGATTTGATGGAATAAAATTGGGTAAAATCATTTTAAAATTCTAATATTGTTATTTATTACGCTCTCGAATAGGTGGGATTACATATAAATAAAAGAGCGATTCTGATAATAGAATAATAAAAAAGACTTAAAATAATTGAAAGTTAATGTCTACACTAACACGGTGCATTTTATTTTTCGATGACTTAATCACAGAAAGCATTTGAGGTCGGTATAACCATTGTTGGATCAATTTAAGTTTTTTTAGCCAAAAATATATTTAATTGATACGGTTAGGTGAGTTGAATCGTTTATTATGCCTTGATCCAATGTCATGGACCCACGTGTGTTGAATTGGATTACAAAGGACTGATCTAAACTAGCACAAGGATACATTAGTGACTCCGGCTTAGACCCACTAACTAATTAACTTTGTTGTTGGCTCGGTTGGATGTCATGTTTTATAACGGTTGGACTTGAGCTATGTCGTGCATGCTCGGTTGGACTTGAGCTATGTTATCAGTTATATTATGATGCATGAATCCCTATGTATCACGTTAGGTAAACTATGTTATTACGTTCGATCTATGCCTATGAGACATTAAAAAGGCATGTTAACTACGAAAATATGACATGTAATATGTTTATATATCTCATAAGAACACTATGTCAGGAAAAAAAAATGGAGGAATGACTTCATTATAAGTATATGTCATGTTTTGATGTTATGGGACCTCGTGCATGCTTGTCACATGTATCGGGACACAAACAATTTAAACAATTAGCAGTGTATTTTTAGTGATTTTGAACACGAACAAATGTCGATAAAATAAACTCTAATTTACATGGAATTCATTTACTTCTAAAGTTTTTAGTTTTAAAATTTACAAATTTAGTAAGGTCTGCACAATAGCCTAACCAGTTGACTTCCAAATTTGTGAAGAATCAGATGCTATTTAGTTTTGTAAATAATGTGATTTATAGTCAAAAGCTATTTAATTTGACTAAAAAAGTGATTTAGAATCGGATGCCATTTAATTAAATAATTTGATCTCAAACATATCAACTATCGTTCAAGTAGACTCACATCAATAAATTCTTTGAGGATCAGACGTTCGGATGTAAATGTTTTTATAACCTTATTGCATTTAATTCTTTATTATCAACGATCTTATCTAATAGATTTGAATCTAATATATGTATGTTTGTCTTTGTCTTTTTTGTTACCGCTCAAAATTTAAAGCCTAAAAAATCGGATCGTGACAAAAACATAAACATGATAAGAAACTTTTTAAAAATATTTTATCGATCTTTTTTTTTTAAGTTTATCAATTTTGTCGAAGTTATCCGGATAATTTGTACCCTTGTTAACTTATTTTAGTGCAAAATTTTATATCGTTCGCATTTTGTATTTGTTGGGTTTAGATTTGCAAGGGTAGAATTATTCAAAATATTAAAATTAAAAGTTTTGGAAATAAATTAAAAAATTGAAGAAGTAAGAACGGACCCAATACGGGTTTGTTGAAATGGGTCGAACTGAAATGCTCAGGATTCACGAGATATGCGCGAACCACACCCTAAAGTTGGGGTTGGGTGTTCTACAGCAGATCTGTGAATTTAATTTCCCGGCATGTTTTTTATGCTATTCACATGAAAAACGCTAAGCTAGCTGCTTTTTCAGTGGATGATATTAAACTAAAATTGTTCAAAATCAAAATTATATGTATTCCAGTGAGAAAAATCCAATCCCTTGTTTTTCTTCCGTCTTTTGGACCAAATTGAGGCCACCTTCGATTACAATTTCAGATTCCGCCTTAATTTCAGGTCAGTTCTTCATCTCTTTTCTTCGACTTTCTTTTTAGATTTGTGTGGGCTGTCGATTATTTTGTTGAACCTGTTAGCGTAGATCTGTTCATAGCGAGCCATTGATAGGGTTTTAATTGTTTGTGTTCTACTGGAATTTTCTTTGCTTATTATGGGAAGGCGATTTTAGAAGTAGTGGAGGTTGGGTTTCTTCGTTCTGGTGATTTGATTTGGAAAATGGGTGAGAAATTTTGGGCCAACGAAGAAAACAGGGTTTTGGTTGAATCAGTTCTTGGTAGTGAAGCTTGCGAGTTCTTGATCTCGTTGGCATCTAGCAATATCATGCCACCCGAGGCCTTCCAATTTTCGAGTGTGAATCAGGGGCTAACCCAACTTTTGGATGGTTCAAATTGGAATTATGCAATCTTTTGGCGTGTGGTTACCTTGAAATCTGGGGGTTTAGCTTTAATTTGGGGCGATGGTGCTTGTCATGATTCAAAGATTGGTATTCAAATTTCTGGTGGGGATACTCAGGGAGAGAAGAATGAGGAAATGAAGAAGCAAGTGCTTCAAATGCTTCAATCCTCTTTTGGAGGGTCTGATGAAGATGGATTTGGAGCAAGGAAGGAGGAAGCGTTGGATATCGATATGCTCTATCGGACTTCGATGTATTTCAAGTTTACGTGCGACTCCGGGAGCAGTCTCGGGGCGTCGTACAATGCTGGTAAGACTATATGGGCTTCGGATTCGTCAAGTTGTATGCGTAATTACGAATCGAGAGGGTTCTTAGCTAAAGTGGCTGGTTTGCAGACACTGGTCTTTGTACCTGTAAAGTTGGGAGTTGTTGAACTTGGGTCTGTTAAATCAATTCCTGAAGATCAGGGTGTTCTTGAGTTGGTCAGAGCTGCCTTTGGAGGGTCGGACACTGCCCAATTAAGGGCCTTCCCAAGGATCTTCGGACATGAATTGAGTTTAGGTGGAGCGAAAACTCGAGCGCTTGGTATTAACTTTTCGCCGAAGTTGGAAGATGAAACAAATTTTCCTTCAGAAGGGTATGAGCTGCAGGGTTTAGGTGCTAATCATATGTTTGGAAACTCTTCGAATGGGTGTCGTGGTGATGATAGCGATGCAAAGATGCATCCAGCTCAAGAAATTGTTGGTGGTTTCACTGCTCAAACCCGACTCTCGACTATGGAGTTACCGAGGGACGAGTCGTCCCCTCAAGGAGATGACAGAAAACCTAGGAAGAGAGGGAGAAAGCCTGCTAATGGGAGAGAAGAGCCACTGAATCACGTCGAAGCAGAGCGACAGAGACGTGAGAAACTTAACCAACGATTCTATGCATTACGGGCTGTTGTCCCAAATATCTCGAAGATGGACAAGGCTTCGCTGCTCGGCGATGCTATTACTTATATTACCGATCTCCAAATGAAAGTCAAGGTTATGGAGACCGAAAAACAACAGATCGTTAATGGCAGGGTGAAAAATGCAGAGATCGATTTTCAGGCGAGAGATGAGGATGCTGTTGTGAGAGTGAGTTGTCCGTTGGACTCGCACCCTGTTTCTAGAGTAATCAAAACGTTTAGGGAACATCAAATCGAAGCTCATGAATCAAACGTTACGACCAGCACCGACAACGACAAGGTTATTCACTCGTTCTCAATTAGAACTGAAGGTGGTGCTGCAGAACAATTGAAGGAGAAGCTGGTGGCAGCCCTATCAAACTGATATCATGTTTAAAGCCTCAATATGTTGATTTTCAGGTAGTTTCTGTACTTTGTAGCATTAAAATGTGTAAAAACCAAGCTACGTTCTTCCTCTGTATGTTTATAATGTCTAAATGTGCCATACTCTGCATTGGATTGATAACTGATATGAGTTATAGCACCAGTTATGAGTTGAACTCTGTTTAAATCTTCAGATTTCTTTGTTTCGCTGGGTCTTGACTCTACTTGTTAGCTCAAGCTTACCGCTCGGATATTATCTGCTTTGGCCTGTTACATATCGTTATCAGCCTCACGGTTTTAAAACGCGTCTGCTAAGGAGAAGTTTTCAGGTTTTTATACCCTTATAAGGTATAGATTTCCATTGACAGACAATCCCAACCAAAATAGAAGCGAGTGACTTTGGGTTTTGCTTGTAGTCGTATTTTAGCTTATGTAGTGGTCGGCCTTCCTGTCCAACACGCACGCACTCGCCAAAATGCCTCTTTGATTTTGCACGAAGTTGCTTTATTCTTTTCTTCGACCGATGTGGAATCTCGCACTTGAAAATGATCCGAAGTGCAAGGTTTATGTTCAGAACTCTAGAATGCAAAAAGTATGTTAGATTTCTACTTCATATGCAGTTTTGAAACGTTAATCAAATATAAAAAAATACAACTTTTAAAAGAATGTACTTTCTCTAATTTAACGAAAATAGATCGAGTACAGATTTTGGGTTAAATATTGCTAGAAACCACGACTCTCCGTAATGGTATGATATTGTTCAATTTAAGCATAAACTCTCATAATCCTACCCTAAAATAAAGTGCACCATATAGTTTCTCCTGAAGCCTATGGAGTGCTCGGACAGTCTTTCCTTAATCGAGACTCGACTCCTTTCTCTAGAGCCCTCGAACAAAATAAACTTTTTGTTCGACAGTTTAGAATTCTATTGACGTGACAAAGTTAAGGGCATGACTCTAATATCATGTTAAAAACCACGACTCTCCACAACAATAGTATCATATGAGACTACTCCTTTCTCATGACTTTCCTTTTAGTTTTTCTAAAAGGTCTCATGGTCTTTCTCTTAACTTTCAATGATCCTAACAAATACTTCCGAAATTAGAAAAGAAAGTGAACCAATGGTTGAGAATCAAAATAATTGTAAACTAAGAGTAGCTAGGGAACTTGGGTTATTCTTGGAGTTCTTTTTTCTTTGATCTCAAGTTTAATTGGTTAGCAGTTGAATAATCTTGGGATGTTTGCGAACAATTTGGGGTAAGGAACAAGCAACGTGTTACTTGATTCATTCTAACGTTGTTTTCAACCTTCAAACAACATTATTGTCAAACTAAGAACCCTTCAAAAGTCTTTCGTTAGTCTATACCTACCAACAAAAAGCAAATAAACCGTTAGACACTGGTATACACGGGTTGGATTGGATTGAGTTGGAGATATATTTTTTACCAACTCGAAATTTCGGGTTCGTTGGGTTGGTGACCTGAATAACCTGAATAGAGCCACAATCCAACTCAACCCTCTATGTTCAGGTTGGGTTGAGTTGTGGGGTCGTTCTTTTGTAAAAAAAAATCTTACTTATTTATATACATTAATAACTAAAATCTCATAAAACTTAAATACCAACCATTCACAAATCACAATGTATCATTAACATCGATTACAAAGATAAAATACTTTAATTTTTCATAGTAATCTTAAAAGTACGTTGAGTTGGGTTGGATTGTAACCCTATTTTCGGGTTGATCAGGTTGATATTTAATTAATCCAATCAATCAAACTCAATCCAACCATGGGTAGTTCGGATTGATTGAATTTTTCAGTTCATTCCGTACCCTATACACTCAATTTTCGATTCTTCCTCTCGTTCTTATTTAATAAATGATAAAAACATTTGGAATCCCAATAAAACGATAAATATTTTATAAACACCCCTAACACTATCATTTTAAGTACATATTTGACTATTTTTTCATATTCTTAACATGTTTATAGCTTAATATTAATAAATTGTTAATAGCAAACATAAATATATATATATATATATATATAATATATGCTTTTTTCTCAAAATATTTTATAAATAAATGCAATAGTTGAAAGGGTAAAATACTTCTTTTTTTCAAACCATAACTTGAAGCATAAGGTCTTGAGAATAATTAGCAATAATAACACATGAAAATCTATATTTTTTCAAGACTTTTGACTTTGACTCAATAAATATATGTATTTTTTTGTTTTTGTTTTCCTTGCTTTCCTTTATAGAGACCAATTCAACTCTTATTCCCTTCACAAACCATTTACACGTTTTATTAATCAACTTAGCTAAGGATACAAAGAACGTAAGAACGAAAGCCTATCGTGCGAGTATGAGCCTACCAAGTGGGCTAACATACCCCTCGGGTCTGCTGGTCGGGCTAGCTCCTTTAGGCTGTAGTCGAACACCTGGTGGTACAACGACCGTTGGCAACATGCTAAGCATGCTTGTCATTTCAGTCTCACAGTGTACTCGTCCATACTCATCATATAGGGGAAGTATCCTGATGCATGAGGTCCCCATACTTTCCATTTTAAATAAATCAGGTAGGATAACCTCATTCATTACTTACATATTACACTCTGTAATATGCATGCATAAGCTTTCATAAATCATATCATTCATATCATAACTTAGGGGTTATGCATCTTAAAATTCCTCATTTCAATACGTATTATAGCATGTCATAACATGTCATTGCCAAACATATTCATATCATAGTACATTATGATATCTCATAACATAACATAATTAATCCGACATAATATATCATATCATCAAACTATATTTGGTATATCTAAAAACCTGAGAAGTTATGACATGCATACGATAGCGACTCTATGCAAACGTATGCAAATATTACTTTCAAATATTCATTGTAAGGGTGTGAAAACCTTTCTCCACATGTTTTAAAAGCTGAGATTCATTTTAAGCAGACAATATCTACAAGCAATGGACTGTGAGGGTGACAACAATACGTAACGAGCCAAAGCAGACGGTATATACTTACGATGGGGTTGGACTATTACAAATAGTATCAGAGTCCGTCACCATCATGACCCATTACGTATCATCGTCCACCTCACAGTTTTAAAACACGTCTACTACGGAGAGGATCTAGCCCTACTTTGACTAGTGTCTCGCACCATCCAATGACTGGCTCTTATATCAATTGTAACGGTTCAAGCCCACTGCACCAAACACTCCTATAAGAGATGTTTTGTTACTTGGGATAGATTTTCACACCTTTCTAATACATGTTTCCTTCCCATTTTCAATCCACTTGGAATGTTACAATTATTTTTTTTAAACCAAGAAAAAATAATAAATATTTTTTATTTAGATTATTCCTTTAATATATATATAGACACACTTCTGAAACATAAATAAATGAATCACAAATACACTCTCCGACATGATACATTATTTGTTTATATAAAAATTGCACAAAGAAAAACCCCATGCATGTTGTTTAAGCGTTTATTAGTTCGTGTTCATGGCCACACCAAATGGAACAGGAACTTGATGATGGTAGCTGTGTGCCGGGGAGGGCGTTAATTTTCCGACGAAAGCTCTTTGCCCGAGCTGTGTCGGAATAGTAGTGCCGCCATTTTGGGCAGAGGGAGGAACCGGAACTCTCTGAAGAGACTGCTGAAGAAGAAGGATGGACCATTTTTGTCGATCCTCTTTCATGGTTCTGCAACTTTGGAGCTGATGAGCATTGGCAAGAACAACCAAAATGGCCAAAAGGAAAGCGAATTGGATCTTCATTTTGAGAAAGGAGAGGTGGGTTTTGTGGTGATGGAAATGAAAGATTAAGAGAGATTGTTGAATATGATAGTTATGGTGAAATTTGATGTAATCGTTTGAGTTCTATTTATACCAAACCACATGGCTTCATTTTTCCTACGTCTTCTTTATAAACTCTTTGAATATTGTGTTAAGTCTTGGCCATTTGAGATGGTAAACAAGCAAGAATTTTGATTGGGTCAAAGTCTAGGAAATTGAAGGTTTAATTTCTTGGAGAAAAAAATTATACATGAGAAAATGAGACTCCTCGGGATAGTTTTGTAATAGTCCACCTACCGCTAGTAGATATTGTTTGCTTTGTTCACCAACTTTACGGTTTTAGGTTACGTCCACCGTAGAGAGGTCCCCACACCTTTATAAAGAATATTTCATTCTCCTCTCCAATCGATGTGGGGATCTCACAATCCACCCCGCTTGAGAGCCCAGTGTCCTCGCTGACACACTATTCGGTGTTTGACTCTGATATCTTTTGTAATAGCCCAAGACTACCGCTAGCAGATATTATCCGTTTCACCTATTACGTATCATCGTCAGTCTTATGGTTTTAAAATACGTCTACTAGGGAGAGGTTTTCACACCCTCATAAAAATGTTTGGTTTAATTTTCCTCTCCAACGCACGCGGGATCTTACAAGTTTTGTTATCAACTCAAGATTATCATGTTTGTCCAGAACATTGAAATTTGTATCTATTTGGTTTTCATAAGGTTTCTTTAAACCTTCACTTTATGTTCAATAAATCATTGATCGGTAAAAGAAAAGCCGTCTAATAAACTCTTAAACTTTTAATTTTATATCTAGTAGAGCTTTAAGTTTTTCTAGTTTTATGTCTATTAGATTCAGCATGTTTAAAATGAAAATTCATGGACTAGACATAACTATCAATAGTTTAGAGTTTCGCTCCAATAAATCTCAATTTTATATCATAGATATATCAGTTACTTTTTTAAAATGTGATGATTTTGCATGTATTTATTATCCATTCATTAAAATGGGATCTCATAGATCTACCCAAATGATGACATGTCTATGTAGAATAGATGATTCTGGCAACTCACTATTTATTATCATGAGGCACTTTAGGGTCATCTTCATTCCATTGATTGAGTATCAATTCACATTCATTGGGGGGAAAATTCTCCCAAGACTCTCACTTATATACTAATACTAAATTGATAAACTTCATTAAAATTGGTTAATATTCCAATTTAGTCAAAAGAAAAATGACCCGTTTAGACAGTAAAAGTTTAAGTCCCGTATTTATTCGTTATATATTCTTGTTGTATGTATGCATGTCTACAAAATACCATCATTAAATGGATATAAACATGCTTCTCTACATTTTCTTAACCGGTATGGTACGT